GAACTATTATAATTGGACTTGCCATGGTGAACCATTTATATCTGATGACGGATATCGAAGAAGCGACCAATTGTTTGTTAGGGAAGAATGTAGCTATTATGACCAATTGAATCCATATCAGGGGATGGTGTTTGATGAAGCAGGCCATAATTTTTTTCCAGAATCGAATCATGCAGGTACTAGTTTAACTCCTACACTTGAACAAGTGGGAACTAGTCATGTATTACAATTGGAAGAGGCAGGAGTTACAGGTTTTGATGAGAATGTGTGTGATGGAACTTTTCAATCTAATCGGTTATGGGAAGAGTTGAAAACAGCAGATGAACCTTTATGGGCAGGTTGTGACAATCACACGAAGGTATCAGTGACGGCAAGATTGTTAAATATCAAGGCAGAGCATAATGTGTCTGTGGATTGCTTCAACTCTTTTGTTGAAGTAATGAGGGAAACAATGCATCGTGATAACATCATGCCAAGTGACTTTTACGATATGAAAAAGCTAGTGGATAATTTAGGTCTTCCAGTTGTAAGGATTGATGTATGTAGTATGGATTGTATGTTATATTGGAGAGATGATGAAAATGCAGAATCTTGCAAATTCTGCAGCCAACCTAGGTACAAGATTAACAGGCGGCAAGGTCGTAATCAGAAGCGTAGACCATGTAAACAAATGTTCTATTTGCCCTTAATCCCTAGGTTGCAAAGGCTTTATGCGTCTCAAGCCACTGCTGAACATATGACTTGGCATGCAAATCATGAAACAGAAGATGATCTAATGTGTCATCCTTCGGATGCGAGAGGCATGGAAACATTTTGATAGAACATATCCCGAGTTTGCGATAGAGCCTCGAAACATCGGAGTTAGGTCTGTGTTGATGGTTTTGCCCCATTTGGGAAATCAGGAAAAAGTTATTCATGTTGGCCAGTTATCTTAACTCCGTACAATCTTCCATCCGGTATATGCATGAAGACATCTTATATGTTTTTGACATTGATCGTGATTGGCCCGCAAAATCCGAAAAAGTTGATAGATGTTTATATGCAACCATTGATTGAAGAGTTACAACGGCTATGGAATGAAGGTGTCCCTACGTATGACGTTTCTACCGATCAAACATTTGTAATGAAGGCTGCTCTTCTTTGGACGATAAATGACTTTCCAGCTTATGGAATGTTATCTGGATGGAGTACAGCTGGGATCTTAGGATGTCCGATATGTATGGAGATATCGAAGTCATTCAGATTAAAGCACGGTAAGAAGGCCAGCTATTTTGACTGTCATATGCAATTTTTGCCGCTAAAGCATACATTCAGAAGGAATAAAAAAGAGTTTATCAAGAATAGGATCGAAAGAACACATCCACCATTGAGGTTGACCGGTGATCAAATTTGGGAGCGAGTGCAGGAGTTTCCAACGGTTGTTGAAAACCCTCACGGCACAACTATTGGGTACGGAAGTACACATAAATGGACTAAGTGCAGTATATTTTGGGATCTACCATATTGGAAGGCCCATCTTATTCATCATAATCTTGACGTCATGCACATAGAGAAGAACGTTTTCGATAATGTCATAAATACTGTGATGGATGTCACTGGAAAAATAAAAGACAACTTGAACGCAAGAAAAGATATGAGGGATATTTGCGATCGGCCAACACTAGATGTGGATGCAAGCAGCAAGGGACCAAAACCAAAAGCAGTTTATACATTAGACAAGGAGCAGAGACGGGTCGTTTGTCAATGGTTGAAATCGGTGCGATTTCCTGATGGATATGCTTCGAATCTAGGGAGATGCGTTGATTTGAATGAATGCAAGTTGATAGGTCTGAAGAGTCATGATTGTCACGTATTTATGGAAAGACTAATTCCAATAGCCTTCAAGGAACTTTTACCAAACTTTGTTTGGGGCGCCATTACAGAGTTAAGTAATTTCCTGCACGATATTTGCTCAACAGCGTTGAAAGCATCACACATGGAGAAACTAGAGAGAGATATTCCAATTATTCTTTGCAACTTAGAAAGGATATTTCCTCCATCGTTCTTTGATTCAATGGAGCATCTCTTAGTTCACTTGCCTTATGAGGCCAAAGTTGCAGGTCTCGTCCAATTTCGATGGATGTATCCATTTGAGAGGTAAGTTTTTTGTTAAATAAATTTTAAATTACTTCATTGTATATTATGTTCCGATAAATTTTTTTGTATTGCAACTAGGTTCTTATATCATTTGAAGAAAAAAGTAAAGAATAAGGCATGTGTCGAAGCTTCAATTTGTAATGCATATATTGTGGAAGAAGTGACAACATTGGCATCATACTATTTTGAGCCGCACGTGCAGTGCAAGAGGCGGAGAGCAGGAAGAAATGATGAGGGCCCCATTGATCCCAATTGCAAATCATTCTCTATTTTCAATTATTTGGGTCGACCAAGCGGCGCAAGTAAGTTTCGGCACTTAACAGGTGAAGAAAAGCAGGCAGCCCATACATATATTTTACTGAACTGTCCAGAAGTTGAGCCATACTTCAAGTAAGTGTACATTTGTAAGTATATGTATTGTGTGTCAAACATTTGCTAATATATAAATGGTATTTGTTAATAGGATTTTCTAAAATTCAATGTTTGGACTACCACCGAATGAGTTTGACCGTTTGTGCCAGGAACAATTTGCAATATGGTTCACAACATATGTAAGTTGTATGTGGACGAAATGCAAGTTATTCGAATTTTTTATACATCATATATTAAAATATATATTATTGACATTACGTATGTGACCTTAGGTTCACAGTAATCATGATCATGCGAAAGAGCAAGGATTGCTATATCATCTGGCGTGGGGTCCAAAGTCCAGAGTACGAACTTGGCCAGCATATTTCATAAACGGGTACAATTTTCACACTCGAACATATGGAATGGGAAAAGCCACAATGAATAGTGGTGTGTGTGTTTAGTCATCCAATGGTGGCAGTTCGAAAGATGATTTTTATGGGTTGTTGGATGAAATCGTAGAGATAGAGTACCATAGACCATTAATTTTGCGGGTTGTGTTATTTAAGTGCATACGGTTCGACCCCGTCAAAGGAATGAATGTGCATACGAAGTTTAATTTGGTTGAAATAAATCACAAGAAAAGATATATGAAATATGAACCATTTGTCTTAGCACAACAAGCAATTCAAGTATATTATGCATCATATCCTAGTTTGAAACGTGACAAAGCCGATTGGTGGGCTGTATGTAAAATCAAAGCACGGAAAAAAATCGAGGAACACTGGAAGGACATAGCATATCAACAAGAGAAAGTTCGTCACACGATTGAAACTGATGAATATACCATTCCAACTTTACGAGATCCATGTGGAGCGATGATCGATGTGGATCAAACTGAAATTCGCAAATCAAATTTTGAAGTTGGTACAGAACTTGATTATGAGACAGATGATGAAGATGATGCGCATGAAGTAGATGAAGACGAAGATGAAGACGAAGACGAAGCTGCAGATGAAAGTGAAGATGAAGATGAAGATGAAGAATATGATTTTTGTTACTTTTCACTATTTATGTGCAATTATTATTATTATTGCGACATGTGTTTTTTTTTCTCATAAATTTTTGTTATTGTTGTTGTCGTCGTTGTTGTTATAATTAGAATCATGACTAATTAGCCTTAGATTTCGCCACAGAATTAAAATAGTAGGGAAAAATATTAGAATTTTGCAACGAATTTGCATTTCGTTGGAAAAATTTCCAACGCATTTGCATTTCGTTGGAAAAATTTCCAACGGAATGCAATGTCGTTGGAAACATTTCCAACGAAATGCAAATTCGTTGGAAATGTTTTCCAACGACATTGCATTTCGTTGGGAACATTTCCAACGAAATGCAAATTCGTTGGAAATGTTCTCAACGAAATGCAATGTCGTTGGAAATGTTTTCCAACGACATTGCATTTCGTTGGGAACATTTCCAACGACTTTGCATTTCGTTGGAAAAATTTCCAACGAAATCCAAATTCGTTGGAAATGTTTCCAACGAAATTCAATTTCGTTGGAAAACATTTCCAACGAAATTGAATTTCGTTGGAAATGTTTTCCAACGACATTGTATTTCGTTGGAAAAATTTCCAACGAATTTTAATTTCGTTGGAAACATTTCAAACGAATTTTTATTCGTTGGAACAATTTCCAACGAATTTTCATTCGTTGGAACCGTTTCCAACGAAATCGAAATTCGTTGGAATTTCCAACGAATTTGCTTTTCGTTGGAAAAATTTCCAACGACATCCCATTTCGTTGGAAACATTTCCAACAAATTTGGATTTCGTTGGAAAGATTTCCAACCAATTTCCATTTTGTTGGAAAAATTTCCAACGAATTATAAATTCGTGGGAAAACGTTCCAACGAATTATAAATTCGTTGGAAAAATTCCCCACGAATTTACAATTCGTTGGAAATCTCAAAATAATTTTCCCACAAAAAAATATATAAGCAAATATTTTGCCACGAATATGAAATTTGTGGGAGAAACCGTAGGAAATTTCCAACGACGTCCAAAGTCGTTGGAAATTTCCCACAAAATTGAAATTCGTGGGAAATTTCCCACGAATTTTCTCACGAATTTCAAATTTTCGGAAATTTCCCACTAACTTCAATTTCGTTGGAAATTTCGTGGGACATTTCCAACGAATTAAAATTCGTTGGAAATTTGCCTCGAATTACATCGAAATAATTTAAAATCGTACGAATTTCCAACGAATTACAAATTCGTTGGAAATTTTCCACCAATTTTCCCGCGAACGGGTACAATTTTTGGAAATTTCCCACGAAATTCAAATTAGTGGGAAATTTCCAAAAATTCGTGAAAATTTGCAACGAATTGAAAAAATTCGTGGGAAATTTCCCACGAATTTTACATTCGTTGGAAATTTCCCACGAATTTAAAATTCGTTGGAAATTTTGCACTTAGTCTATTTTCGCTGAGACTCCACTTTTGTTGCAAGAACAATATCTCCACGAATCTCCTCAGAGCCGTCCTCGTCGCCGTCCTCCTCGCCGTCGCCGCCTTCATCGTCCACGTCGTCGTCGACTCCGCCCAGCCTGGTAGGTAACTCTAAACTATATATTGTTTGAATAAAATGGTGACGCGGCCGTGACGGGGTGGCGGGGGTCGCGGCGGACATGGCCAGGGGAGGGGGTCGCGGCGGAGTTGGCTGGTGGGGGGTGGCCGCCGAGTATGGCCTGGAGGCCGTGGGTCGCACCGAGGGGGCCGGAGGGGGTAATCATTGTGGCCGAGCAGCCGTGGGTGGGGGGTCGCGGGCGACCGGGCCAGGTGGGGGTCAGCCGCGAGCTGGCCGCGGGTGAGGGAGTCGCCGCGAGCTGACCGTGAGGGGGGGTTCACGCCCGAGTGGCCGTGGGGGGTCGCCGCGTGGCGACCGTGAGGGGGGGTTCGCCGGCCACCGGGCGTAGGGGAGGAGGGTCGCCTGCCACCGTGGCCGTGAGGGGGGTTCGCTGGCCAGTGGCCGTGGGGGGTGGGGAGGGGGTGGCCATGCCCGGCGCGCCGGGGGGGGAGGGTTCGCCGGCCGTGAGGGGGTTCGCCGGCGGTTGGCCGTGTGGGGGGGTTGCCGGCCAGGCCGTGGGGGGTCGCCGACCGGCTTGCCCGGAGGGGGGTCGCCGGCCAGCTGGCCGTGCGGGGGGCGGTCGTCGGAGGGGGGTGGCGGGCGACCTTGCCAGAGGGGGGCTCGCGGCCATGATTTCGACACGGTTGTCGTTTTTTTTAATGATTTTTGTGTTAACATATAAAATTTGGTAAAACGATGCTTATAGAGGGAACAAATTAATGTGTTGCATTTGTGGCAAATTTACTTATTGAACGTAATTTGTGATCTTTTTTTTAGGTATGTACTAGAGCTGTGCGAAATAACATATTTGGGGCATAAATTTGCATAAATGTGGCATCAGAGTTGATACTTGTTGTAATTCGTTCTGCACATTTAATATGCTTCATTTTATTTTTCGTGGAATCTGATGTGGTCCAAATTTTAATAGGTTGTTTCAACGTGGACCAAAGATTGCTATTTATCAGAGGCGATAGTCGGTTTGTTTCATTTTGTCGAGTTTATTTATTGCTCTATTAAACAAAATGGTAAGCAAAATGGCTAATGTCATTTTCAGTCCCTAATATATGTTCATATTTTTAAATATATTTGTCTAACCTTCCTACTTGTCAGTTTAAACGTGGAGGTCTCCTGCGTGGTTCGGGTTCGCAAAGAAGATTAGCCCCTTCCGCTGGCTCGTCCTCGTCCCCGACCCTGTCCTCTTCCCCTGCCCTTTTATGTAACCCTCAACCACAACATGTTCATGGACAACACGAACACATTGGCCCATCCTTCGACCCTCAACAACATATTAGGGTAGAACCTCGGGACATGCGAACTGAATTTACTTCAGTTCCATCTCCGATTCGATCTCCTTCGGTTCCACTTTCTTCTTCAGTGCAACACTCGAATGATGAAGAAGATACCCGATTCATTATATGCCCATGTGGAGATTCGTAAGTACTTCATTTTTTTACGTATATATAAATTATCGATGTAAATAAAATTGTTCATGTTGCGAATTATCCATATGCTTCATTGTCTCATTGTCCGTATTGTTATAACATGTTTTCAGATTCACGGATTCTACGCATGTTGTGAGGGAACTGAATAAAATAGTCAATAACTGTTGGATGGGCCAGTTTATTACTTTTAGCAGCGCTCCCCGCAGAAGTAAAGACTTTGTGGTGGAATGAGTTTAAGGTTAGTGTTGTCTTTCTTCACAAACTAAGTTCGGTGTAGCATACTGATGGTCAATAATGAATTTTGTCATGAATTGTCTGGTACATTGTAATGGATATGTGACATGTGACCCTGGTGGATAATTTTCAGTTGTTTTTCTATTGATTGTAGCGTAAGTTCACGTGGGATGAAATGGAAGAGGATGAGGTTAAAAGAATTTTCAAGAAGAAAATCGGTGATTACATGCGATATGTGATAAATAGAGCAAAGAGAAAAAATGAAAAGCCGACCTTTTTTACAACTGACAATTGGACGGAAATTACAAGAACTTGAGAAACTGAGAAGTATAAGCTAAGGTGTGAACAGAACAAGAAGAATTGAGCTTCTAGTTCTAGTGACGGGTCTGCGTCTGCCACATATGTTGGGGGCTCTATCAGCATCGGGGAGCATAAAAGAATAATGGTAAGTCTGTTTATACATGTCAGTGCATTTAATGTAATGATTAGTCATTTATGTTTATATTTTGTAGGCAGATGAATTGGGGACGGAACCCACTTTTACAGCTACATTTGAACGCACATTCCAAAAAAAAGATAAGACATGGACTGGCGCTCGAGCAAAAGCTATTAAGGTATGTAAGGTTATAGTTCGGACTTAAAGGAAACTAGAATGAAAATCATGAATGTTTTTAATATTTATGGTAATATATATGAATTTATTTTATTTCCATCTATAATGTTAATATAGGAAAAATATGATAAACTTTTAATGAGCACTGCTGGTGGTGATGGTGGTGGTGGTGGTGGTGATGGTGGTGATGGTGGTGGTGATGGTGGTGATGGTCGTGCTGTGTCCGAGCCATCGGTTGTGATATGGCATTATGGGTGGAGGCAGCGGGTGGGATGAAAGGAGGAAAAATATTTGGGATGGGATCCTTGTCAAGGATGTACAAATCGAAGGTTGGTGCAACTTCATCCTCCAATGCAGCTGTTTCAAGGAGGACAAGACATGAGGAGCATATAACCCAAGAATTGAGCCAACTCGAAGCGGTTGCTTGTACGGAAGGGACGAAGAAATGAAGTATTTACTTGGACAGAAGGACGAACAAATAAGGGTGATGCAACAACAAATGCAAATTGTCATGCGACATCTCGACATCGATCGCAATGAGGTTCCTCCTCTACCTCATATTAATCCAATTGATGAATGGCATAATGCTGAGCCACAAAATGATGCGGCGAATGGTGATGGTGATGATGATGATGCTGATAATTTTATTGTTAGTCCTTTCTAGTTCATTCTCGAGTACCAAAGCTATCAATATTTTATGGTTGTCCCGCGTTCTTTCAATGTTTTGAATGTATTACCTGATGTTCATTAGTGCTTAGCTGCTTCTTCGTATTATAAGATTGAAAATCGAATATCATCATATGAGACTTTGCAACTTATGCATTGTAGAAATTAATATTGCTTTCTTACCAAAAAAAATTTAATATTGATAATAATTAGATTTAAAATCGAAATTGTCGCTAAACAAAATTCGTCGCAAACTTAGCGACGAATTTTGTCACGAATAGCTTTCGTTGCAAATTACCAACGAAAATTGAATTTTTTTTATGGAAAAAAATCGAATTTCCAACGATTTTTGCATCGAATAATTAGCGTCAAATTTTGCAACGTATTTTCCCACAAATGTTGTTTTCGTTGGAAATTACCAACGAAAATTGTAATTTTTTGGATGAAAATTTCAGGGATTTCCCACGATTTTTTGCAACGAATAAGGATGAATTTATGTATTATTTTTCCAACGAATTAAATTTTCGTCGAAAATTACCAACGAGACTTGCTATTTTTTGTCGGAAAAAATTGCGATTTCCAACGAATTTTTTTTTCGTTGGAAATTAACAACGAAAAATTTTTGTCGGAAAAATCCCACATTTCCAACGAATTTTTTTTCCGTCGGAAATTAACAACGAAAATTGTAATTTATTGTGGGAAATATTCGGGATTTCCAACGAATTTTGTTTTTGTCGGAAATTACCAACGAAAATTGTTTGTCGGAAAAATTCGAGATTTCCAACGAATTTTTTTTTTGTTGGAAATTAACACGAAAATTGTTTGTGAGAAAAATTCCCGATTTCCAACGAATTTTTTTTTCGTCGGAAATTACCAACGAAAATTGTTTGTCGGAAAAGTTCGCGATTTCCAACGAATTTGTTTTTCGTTGGAAATTCAAAACGAAAATTGTAATTTCGTGTGGGAAATATTCGAAATTTCCAACGAATTTCTTTTTCGTCGGAAACTACCAACGAATATTGTTTGTCGGAAAAATTCGGGATTTCCAACGAATTTTTTTTCGTTGGAAATTAAAAACGAAAATTGTAATTTCTTATCGGAAATATTCGGGATTTCCAACGAATTTTTTTTTCGTCGGAAATTACCAACGAAAATTGTTTGTCGGAAAAATGCGGGATTTCCAACGAATTTTTTTTTCGTTGGAAATTAAAAACGAAAATTGTAATTTCTTGTCGGAAAATTCGCGATTTCCAACGAATTTTTTTTTCGTTGGAAATTAAAAACAAAAATTGTAATTTCTTATCGGAAAATTCGCGATTTCCAACGAATTTTTTTTTCGTTGGAAATGAAAAACGAAAATTGTAATTTCTTATCGGAAATATTCGGGATTTCCAACGAATTTTTTTTTTTCGGAAATTACCAACGAAAATTGTTTGTCGGAAAAATGCGGGATTTCCAACGAAATTTTTTTTTCGTTGGAAATTAAAATCGAAAATTGTAATTTCTTGTCGGAAATATGAGGGATTTCCAACGAATTTTTATGTCGTTGGAAATTAAAAATGAAAATTGCAATTTTCTTGTCGGAAATATGAGGGATTTCCAACGAATTTTTTTTTCGTCGGAAATTACCAACGAAAATTTTTTGTCGGAAAAATTGGGGATTTCCAACGAATTTTTTTTTCGTGGGAAATTAACAACGAAAATTGTTTGTCGGAAATATTCGGGATTTCCAACGAATTTTTTTTCGTCAGAAATTACCAACGAAAATAGTTTGTCGGAAAAATTCGGGTTTTCCAACGAATATTTTTTTTCGTTGGAAATTAAAAACGAAAATTGTAATTTCTTGTCAGAAATATGAGGGATTTCCAACGAATTTTTTTTTCGTCAGAAATTACCAACGAAATTTTTTTGTCGGAAAAATTGGGGATTTCCAACGAATTTTTTTTTTGGTTGGAAATTAACAACGAAAATTGTTTGTCGGAAATAGGAGGGATTTCCAACGAATTTTTTTTTCGTCGAAAATTACCAACGAAAATTGTTTGTCGGAAAAATGCGGGATTTCCAACGAATTTTTTTTTTCGTTGGAAATTATCACCGAAAATTATTTATCGCAAAAATTCGCGATTTCCAACGAATTTTTTTTTCGTTGGAAATTAAAAAAAAAATTGTTTGTCGGAAAAATTCGGGATTTCCAACGAACTTGTTTTTCGTCGGAAATTACCAACGAGAATTGTATTTTTTTGTTGGAAAATTTTGCGGATTTCCGACGATTTTTGCAACGAATATTTTGCAACGAATTTTTCCAACGATTTTTAGCGACGAATTTTGCCACGAATTAATTTTCGTCTGAAATTATCAACGAAAATTCAAATTTTTTTTCGTCGCTAATTTCGTTGGAAATTACCAACGAATTTTGCCACGTTTTTTCCAACGAATTATTACCAACGAATTTTCCAACGAACTTTCCAACGAATGTTTCCCACGAATTTTTCCAACGAATTTTCCAACGAAATTTTTCCAACGAAAAAATTTCGTTGCAAATTACCAACGAAAATTTAAATTTTTTGTTGGAAAAATTTGCGACGACTAATTACCAACGAATTTTTTTTCGTCGCAAATTTCGTTGGAAATTCGTTTTCCAACGAATTTTGCCGAATTTTTCGTTGGAAATTTCGTTGGAAAACTCTTGTTTTTTTGTAGTGCATGCAAAGCATGATGTCTTGTTATGCCTGTGTCTTTCTATTACATTTGCTCTAAATTTTGAGTTCTCGTGCGTGACAGATTCGAAGCTGGAGGTGTTGGATGTTTCCTTCAATAATTTGTCAAATGATGCCTTTACAGCCACTACAGACATCAGAATAGATTCCTCGAAGTTGCTCAAAGGTACTTCATGAAATAAATTGCATCGGTCTTGGCGGATATCTTACAATGTAGGAAATGAGGCTCAATTTATTACTAAACGAAGATAATAAACGGCATAAAGCTACAATATTATTACATACTCAAAACTAATTCTACATACCACTACATGGAAATGGGATTTCAAATAAATAAATTGTCAAGTCCTGTGTGGTACGTGCCTTCTGCTGGTTAATCTAAAACATTGGGGGCCAACCCTTCTCAAAGAAAATCTTTTTTTGATGAAAATGTTTCACTAGCAATGAAACTTATGGCTGATATATATACCAAAGCAGGTTTATGTGGATTAAGGAACCTTGAAGAGTTGGATCTTAGCCATAGTTGCCTTGGGGGTCCTCTTCCCCCATGTCTATGCGATATGACCTCACTTCGTGTACTTGATCTTCAAGTTAACAACTTCAATGGGGCAATTCCACCGTCACTCTTCCATAACCTCAAGTCACCAGAATATATATCTCTTTCTGGCAATGCTTTTGAAGGCTCGTTTTCACTTGCTTCACTTGCTAACAACTCTAAACTTCAAGTATTCGATCTCGTCAGCAACAAGAATCGCTTGGAAGTTGTTACAGAATACAAAATGTGGTCTCCCTCTTTCCAAATGAGGGTATTTTGCTTATCAAACTCAGCAATCAATCAAGATGCAAGTGGTGTAATTCTTAGCTTTCTGAAACAACAGCATGAGCTGAGAGTTGTTGAACTCCAGGACGATGGACTGACCGGAGGTTTTCCATATTGGCTGTTAGTGAACAATAAGAATCTAATGGAATTGAAACTTGCACACAACTACTTCTCTGGTGCTTTCCATTTGCCATCTAATCCAAATCTTGTTGACCTGGGATGGCTTGACGTGTCTGACAATCTTATTGAAGGAGTGCTTCCGTCTCATATTGGTTCCACTCTTCCAAATTTGCAGTATCTGAATCTGTCAAGGAACTTAATGAGAGGTAGAATACCTCCTTCAGTGGGCAACATGAAGATGTTAAGAACCTTAGATTTGTCGACTAATAGCTTTAGAGGAGAGCTGCCAGATGCACTAACCACAGGCTGTATATCCTTGAGCATACTGAAATTGTCAATCAACAACTTGCACGGCCGAATCCTACCGGGAATTACCAACTTGACTAGTCTGAAATGTTTGTATCTGGATAACAATGAATTCAATGGGGACTTATCACCCGGTCTACTGAATAGCTCCGGCTTAAGGATTTTGGATGTTAGTAACAATTTGCTGTCGGGAGGGATCCCCGATTGGATTGGTGCTTTTCAAGATTTAAATTCTCTTGTGCTGTCAAATAACTCACTAGGAAGTCCTTTGCCATTGGGCTTTTGCAAATTAGGTCATCTCAGTTTCCTAGACCTTTCAGGTAACAGTCTAGGCCCAACTATAAGCCCCTGTGCTAATGTTACATCTATGAGGTTCTTGCATCTGCAAGGCATAGGGCTTGCAGGGCCTTTTCCTGAGTTCCTCTCCAGAGCTTCGTCAATTGTCACATTGGACCTAAGGAATAATGCACTATCAGGTGAGATTCCCAGTTGGATTAGTTTGCTGTCAAACTTGAGGGTTCTTCTTCTCAAAGATAACAATTTTGAAGGCTCAATCCCTCCACAAATATGTCAGCTGCAAGACATGACCATAGTGGATCTCTCATATAATTATCTTTTTGGAAAAATTCCATCTTGTTTGAAAGAGTTGACATTTGGAAATCATGGGATGCCTAGAAGCACATTTGATACTACATTTGTCATAGTAGACGATTGGCTGCCATACTTGTATAAGAGCAAATTCACTACGACACTAAAATATGGCAATGGTTTTCGAGTTGTTTGGACAGATGAACTTGAAGAAGTGAAGTTCATCTCCAAGAGTAGGCTGGAATCTTATGAGGGCAACATCCTCTATTTGATGTCTGGCATAGATCTCTCGAACAATAATTTGAATGGGTCTATCCCTTTAGAAATCGGTTACTTGAGTGAAATTCTTGTTTTGAACCTGTCTCACAACCATTTGACGGGATTGATTCCAGATACATTTTCGAATTTAAAGAATATTGAGAGTTTGGACCTTTCCTACAACAGCCTAACCGGTCCGATCCCTCCGCAATTGATAGAGCTCTGCATGCTATCAGATTTTAGTGTGGCTTACAACAACTTTTCAGGCAGGACACCAGATCAAATAAATCAATTTGGAACTTTTCGTGAAGAAAGTTATGAAGGTAACCCTCTTCTTTGTGGACCGCCATTAGCAAGCTGTGATAGCTCAAATCAAGACCCCAAGACACTGCCATCTTTGGATCGTAGCTGGGAGGATGACTCCTGGAGTGATGCCTTCTTGTGGAGTTTCACAGGATCGTATGTGGTGGCATTCCTTGGGGTGGTGGTCTTTCTCTACCTAAACTCATACCATCAGTATGTGCTGTTCAAGTTTGTTCATAAGCTGGTCCCATCATTTCCTCAGTAAAGATTGTCTTATAAGCATTTGATAATGAAAAAATATGAGGAAACAGTAGATGACCTTGTTTGATAGGATTGTAAGCGTTTGAGCCTTATGCATTGTGAACACACTTGACTCCCAGAGTGCTCCTATTGTATTCTTTGTCATGCATATTTGAATATTAGGAGAGTTGACTTGGTCGTGAACTGAGAAAGGATAGTTTAGTTCACAAAAGAAACGAATCCGGATTCACAAATTCAAGTAAATGTTACATAATTTTATCACAGCCGGCTATACCGCACCACCATAAAAGCAATGGAGGGCCGCCGTAATGAGCCCCACTTTGTGTTCACTGCTGCACCCCTCGGTTGGCTATGGAGATCGCAACTCCATCAAATCGTTCGCACGGAGGCCGCCAACCTCACACGACCACAGATATATGTGCGCCGGCAAATTGATGGAGATCTTGTGCTCCGTGCGCACGCATAGGTTGTCTCAACCTACACACACTGAGAGAGAGAGAGAGAGAGAGAGAGAGAGAGAGAGAGAGAGAGAGAGAGAGAGAGAGAGAGAGAGAGCGTAGTAGCGGAAGTAGCCGTGTTAGGGGGCTCTTGGAAGCCCAAGCTGTTATGGCTATATTGGGAGGAGAAGAAAACATTAAAATGAAAACGTAGTTTAATGCTGCCAAATACAAAAAAGCAAAAATTAAAAAGTTAAGAGATAAATGTACTGAAAGTCTCAAAACTTATCACGAAAGTACAATTAAGTCATAAGATTTTGAAAAAAGTGCAATCAAGTCCTAAAACTTGTCATGAAAGTGCAATCAGGTCCTAAAATTTTGAAAAAGTGTAATGAAATCCTAAAATTTGTTAAGAAAGTATAACCGAGTCATAAAACTTTCAAAAAGTATAATCAATGAAAAAACTTGATTGGACTAATTTGACTATTTTATGACTCAATTGTACTTTTTTAAGGTTTTAGAACTCAATTGTACTTTCGCAATACGTTTTATGACTTTTAATGCACTTACGCCAAAAATTAACTTATACATTCACTTTTCAAAAGAATTTGACAAAAGTGCGAACTTTTTGTGAAGGGACAAAAGTATCCGTGAACTTATCTCCTTCGATGATAAAATAACCTCACTTTTGAAACTCCAAACAATCATTTCCGTCAAAAAAAAGAACTCCAAACAGTCGTGAAATTTTGTTGGAGGGGAAAAACATATTCACCGCCGACTTTTACGTCCAAAGAAGTACATTTGGCATTTGATGACCTCACTTCGTGTACTTGATCTTCAAGCTAACAACTTCAATGGGGCAAGTCCCCCTCGCTCTTCCATAACCTCAAGTCGCTAGAATATATATCTCTTTCTGGCAACACTTTTGAAGGCTTGTTTGCGCTACTCATTAGTGTTGACCCTAGGGCTGCGTTTGATCGTTCGGATTTCTAAACAGGATAGGACTGGATAGGATAGGATAAGAAATCCTTGAATTTCTTCATATCATGTCTACTGTTTGATGGACTACGGATTTAAAGTCGGATAGGATAATTTTTATTTTTATTTTTTGCTATTCACAGGTTTGGAGGAGTCAGTGAAGGAAAAAAAGCCGAGAAATTGTTTTGGTGAAAGCGCACAAGGTGTAGGGATGAAGATGACAACGAGTGGAGTGTAGGATTTCCGGAAAAATAGGTATTAGAAATCCTATCCGGGTCTATCTCACTCTTCAACTCGGATTTTTTTATCCGGGCTATATTCGGTTTATATCCGACCTTATCCTATTCTGGACTACCACCAAACACAGGATATGATAAAACATATCCTATCTTGGCTTTTATCCGGTCAATCAAACGTAGCCTAGAAGTTTTGCCAAAAAGTCGAACCAAGCCCATCCATTTAAGTTCGTTCTCAACCAAGCCCATCAGATCTCTGTGGCCCATCAAGCACCAGGCCTCTATTACGAGTCTAATCCATTAAGAATTGAGGCCCTCTGTCTCTGGCTCTATGAACATTCAAACGAACGTTATGCGCGCGCGCTGAGGGAGCTGAGCGAGGGGAATAGATGCAAAGAAGCAGCACGCGGGAATCGATTGCGTTTTTGTGAGATCCACCTCATCTCTCATCGTTCTCGGATGGAGAAGGCGAAGAGCTGTCATTGGCGATTTTGTTCTGAAGATCCGGTTGAGGGCCTTGAGGCCCTTAGATCAATCAAGACCACTCCGGATAATCAGAAGTGCCATATCTGCGTGCAGCATGGGCCTGTAACCGTCATGGCGACTGCTGGGCCTCTAACCGTCATGGCGACTGCTTCGGCTCACTTCTCCGTGTTTGGAATTTATAGTCCAGAATTCCGAAGATTGTGCCAGATTTAGCTCCATTGAAGAAAGGCGAAGGCGAGGCTGAACAATGTATATGGGTGACGGATTCTGAGGGCCTACCGAATGGTGTTCGAGGCGGTCACTTCGATTTTCCGCGCACTATTGAGGTTTACTAATTCTGCTCAGAAAGTGTTTAACGGATTGTCCGAGAGAGGAGAAACAAGAGTAACGATGCTCTAACTTCGATTACTTTTTATTTTAACAATAAGCAATACTCTTCTCTATCCGACTATATTGAATAATATGAGCTGAAGAGTCATTGTCACGGGTCCACGCCAAATTTTCTTCTCAAGCGGATGAACTCTTCAAATTGCTAGAGACGTGCTCTTGCACAAACTAGAGTTGATACGGCATACAAGTTTTGAATGGCACCGACAATTTCCACGTATCTTATTTGATGTCTTGTGGGGTGAAGTTCCGATCATCTTGGGATGATTTCAGTTCGGGTATGCGTGGGTGAGGATAGTAACACTAAAACCCAATAAAATAAGAGCATGTTATTTTCACTTTGATATTTAGAGATTTCATTTTATTTATTTCTGATTAGTCAACACTTATAATTAAGTAATTAGTTAATGCACAACATAAAAACTCTCTCACCCAAAAAAAAAAAACTTTCATTTTGAATGGCTCCAACCTTCTTTTGATACATGATTGTACACTTACAGTGAATTAACAATGGCCTCTTTATATATTACATGAATCAATTTTAGTAATTTTTTTAGGAACATCAATGTTAAATAAACTAGCATAACCAAGTTACTGAACCCGAAATCTCAAGTTTGTAGAAGTAAGATGGCCTCTCTTGTCTTACTCGACTCCTAATTGGCCTAAAGTAAATTAGTGACAACTATAATTTCTTTTGATTGATAATAAATGAGAGACCGAGTTACGGTTGGTAGGATTTGAGAGAGCATGTGCGAATCATTAATGCTACCTCGCAAGAGGATTAGCAATATGATAAATCCTCCTTGAAGTTCATCTCCAGATGGTCGCGAAACCACTGTTGGAGATTTTTTTTTTTTTTTGGTAAAGTAAGGATTGATTTAACTTTTCAACCCAATTTACAAAGAGTAGCCGAACACAAAAACCCCGCACACAAAAACCCTGCACTGTTGGAGAATTGAGATTTTCTAATTTTAAAAAAATTAAGATTCTCTAATATTATTAGTAGGTAAATATCTATTTTAAAACTTTCCTCTTAAGATGTCATTCGACAGTCTAAATTATTCTCCTTTTCCCTTTTTTTTGTCCTTTCTTATCTTCCTTTTTTTTTTTTATTCTTTTTCCCTTTCCACTTCTTGCCTTCTTCACTTTCTTTTGGTCCTCGGCAAGACTTTAAAAGGTTTCGTCTAAACTCTAGGACGTTAAACGTGGCGTATTCTTTGAGGTAAGGAAAGAAAAACTATTCTCCAACTTGGGGGAGTTGGGCATGCGGACACCGACACCTTAAAATAAGAAACGAAACTGTGAAAGCCGTCGTCCCTACAATTCAAACAATTGCGCGCATAGGCCCCTACTGGGAGTTTAGGCTCTCCTTGCATCTCAAACAAATTGCACAATATAGATCCACACCACACGTAACTATCTCTCTCTTCTCGGTTTATGTCACCGTTGCTAGTGGCCTCCTTTGCTATCGTAGCCCTGCCATCGCCGCAAACTCTATTTGAACCCCGCGACCCACTACTCCCGATAGTTTAGGCAACGATCGCTACCCCCCCCCCTCTCTCTCTCTCTCTCTCTCTCTCTCTCTCTCTCTCTCTCTCTCTCTCTCCGGCGAAGTAGCTAGTGGGGTGAGGCCTCAACCTTAGATGTGACGTCCCTGGCCAGGAGCGACCTTGAATTTGGGGATGCCCGAGGCTAAGGGTGCGAATGGTAACCATTCTGCTCCAGAAATCAAATTCTTGCCAGAAATTGATTTCTGGAATTCTTGCCAGAAATTGATTTCTGAAGGAGAAATCTGTTTGGTAAAACCTGACTAATTCTACTCCAGAAATTGATTTCTGGAACAAAAATCTGTTTTGATTTGTTGATTTTTTTTGCACCTAAAAAAATTTAAATTTTACTCAAAGTGGGTGGCCACAGGTATTATAAGCCATTCTGTAAAGTTTTGAAATTTTTGATTTTTTAAAATTTTTTTGGGCACCTAAAAAAATTTAAATTTCACTCAAATTGGGTGGCCACATGTATTCTAAGCCATTTTGTGAAGTTTTGAATTTTTTTTTTGGGCACCTCAAAAAATTTAAATTTCACTCAAATTGGGTGGCCACAGGTATTCTAAGCCCTTCTGTGAAGTTTTGAAATTTTTTATTATTTTTTGTGCACCTCAAAAAATTTAAATTTCACTCAAAGTGGGTGGCCACATGTATTTTAAGCCATTTTGTGAAATTTTGAAAATTTTTATTTTATTATTATTTTTCTTTTTTTTTGCACCTCAAAAATTTAAAATTTCACTCAAAGTGGGTGGCCACGGGTATTTTAAGCTATTCTGTGAAGTTTTGAAATTTTTGATTTTTTTTTATTTTTTTAAAAAAAATTCACCAAATTTCATATTTTCCCGAAATCTGACTTTTTTTATTTTCTGGAAATTTTTATGATTTTTTCTAGAATTTTTCAATTTTTATGCATTTTTTGAAAAAAAAATTATG